TGTATATATATGTATATGTATGTATATATATGTATATGTATGTATATGTATATGTATGTATATGTATGTATATGTATGTATATGTATATGTATGTATATGTATGTATATGTATGTATATATATGTATATGTATATGTATACTGGCTAGGACTTCTTTGTAATAGATATTCTGAATCTCAAAGGGAATATTCCTGGTAAATAATGGTTAAATAAATATAATAGATACCCTGAACCAGTATTAGTGTACTGTCACTGCCGTGTGCTGTGCTGCTCTCAGTCGAGCTGTGCTCCTTTCTCTGGTGACTCAAATATTATCAGTTTTTGGCTTTGAGGGTTTTAAGTCGTCAAACATCATAAAAAGAATTTGAATCCTCTGAAATCCTTCTCTTGTGAATTTGTGTGCGAAGCTTAACACTAACACTCATCCCTCTAATACATTTGATATCACAAAATGACACCCTTTATGAATACCATACCGTTCAGAAATCTTAATAGAAGTAAAAATGGAATCCCATTTATCAGTTTGACTGCTGACCTTTCAAGCTTAACTCCCATTGTTTGTGTTTGCTGTCCTTCCTGTGCAGAGTTCTCCTACTCCAACATGTGTGTGCACAAGGCGCTGCAGAAGCTGAAGGAGAACGTGGACCTGGAGCACCAGTGCGGCTACATCACCATGCTCAATGCCAACAACAGGCACCGCCGCAGGGCCAGCGACAGTGCTGAGTGCAGAGGTGGGATTATTTTTTTTTGACCGTGTGCACATGCAGATGTTTGCGTGTGAGAGACGAGACGTATCGCTGAATTAGTAACAATGTCCTTGCCTCTGATGGCAATTGGCACTGATGTTGCAAATTAGATAAAGACTGCTCACGGTCCAGTTAGATTATTCTGTTCGTCTGCTTAATTGTGTTCCGTATTGTGACGGCCTTTGCTAATGGATGTGGATCGAACAGTGTTAGCCTTTACCTAACTGATTGAATGTTGCTGACGTAATTCATCACAGTTTAGCATAGATATTTATGTACATAACAGTAATGTCCAGTTTTTGTTTTAATTAACAGACTTCTGATATTTATTCTGCAAAAGGAGTGATTTCCAAAGTTTTGCATTTATTGAAGCTTCTTCGCTGAAAGGCATTGAAGCTGTAATCTCGATGTGAATCAACCTTTCTGTGCCTGAATGCTTCTGAAAATGTGTTGCTTTCCTTCAAGGGGACACCCATCTAGGTGGAGGCCTGGACAACAACGGCAGCACCGAGTCCTTTGAGCTCGTGACGGAAGAAAACAACGGGGAAATCAAATTAAAGACAGAAAGTAGGTCTACTTTTGTGGTTAATGTAACGAATACTTCACCCACAAAATGACCGTTTGTTACTCACCTCGTGTTTTCTTGAAGAAAACTTAGTTTTTCTCACTTGCCTCCACGGGGAATGGAGAATTAATAAAACGCAGAAAAGTCTTGAAGTATATGGGGGCCGCATTTAACAACGTAAATCTATATTAAAACATCCGTTCATAAACTCCTAAAACTCAAAAAGGCTTTCTTCAATCACCGTGAAGGCATGCAAGAAAAATGTCTTCAACAATTCCAGCTAACACAGGTTGAGCAATTTATATACAAATGGTTATGTTGTGGGTGAAGTATTTCTTTAATATATATATTTTTTTATATGTTTTCTATACTTAATCCGATTTTTGAGAGATGGAAAAGAGCAGAATGGGAGACCAGCATATCCTTGTTAATGGTGTATGTCACCCCCACCCCTCCTCTGCCTGGCCAACCCCTTCCTTTCAGCCCTTTCATCCGAAGATGAGTGGGTCCCTCTTGAACTGTGCTTCGGCATGCCCCTCTTCAGCTCCGAGCTAAACCGCAAAGTGTGTCGAAAAATCGCCTCACACAAACTCTGCAGCAACGAAAGGTACGAAAAAAACAACCAGCATCCGCCAGGATTTCACTTTTGATTAAAACATTGACAAAAGTGTAAAGATGAGTGTTGTCGGAAGTGCTAGACTTTATCTTTGTTGTTGTTTCAGCCTTCAAGAGCTACTTCACTCGAGCCGAAAGCTTTCGCTGAAGGTGTTGAGCTTCGTGCAGTCATTCCAGGTAAAAGCACTCTGCTGCCCTTTCAGGTTGACATTTAATAAACTTGCAGAAAAGAAAAGAAATAACACTGTCCAGTGAAGAGTAGTCAATAATTTAATTTGACAAATTCAGTCCATTAAAATGAATCAATTAAAGACTGATTAATAATTTATGAATGTGTCTAATTGAACTGTTTTTTTGATCTGGTTTCAAAACAACAATGTCCAGATTACGATGTTCAGAGTGAGAAGAAAAGGTTTTTTACAATGTGGGGAAACCCATACATTTGTTATCTTAAGACAATGAAATATTTCACACGCTTCACATGAGAAAACAATATAATTACATCTTTCATTGAAATAACAGGCTAAAAGAATAAAAATGGGCATTCGCTAAAGTGTCATTTTTTATGTTGAGATAATGAGATAATTAAGTAATTTTGATATAATTCAACTTTTTGATATGGCTTAAAACAATTACCACCATGACTGCTCCTGGCAGCTGCTTCATGAAACCTTTTGTTTTGAATCAGAATAATAATACAGTAAGCTATTCCTGCACCAATGACTTCATCCTTATTTTGATGCTGTACATTTGCAAAAACCACAAATATATTTTACCTTGAGATGACACAGCCAGTGTGAAAATAGACTTCTAATTGAAGGTAAATATTGAAACTAGTGTTTTGTGGAAAAGTGTTTTATTTTATTTTATTGAAAGATGAAAGACGGACCATTAACATACCAAATATAAAATGTATCTATTGTGCAGAAATTCAAAGGGGAAACAAAAGAAAGACATGGGAGAAAAACAAAGAAACAAAACAGAAATTCAAGACAATTATCATAGTTACATGTTAGTGCAGTAACATGGGGTTATGTGAGAGTTGAGATAGAAATGATGTATTCTGTTGATTTGCAAATGTTTTAGTTGTTGTTTCAGTCTGTGAGGATGTGTGTAAGGATGAGGGAAGAGAAAAAGACAAAACAATATAAAGTAGGAAGGAAAATAAAAAAATGCCCAATTTAATAGAAAGGAGATAAGCATGGTGAATATGTAGTTTTTAGTTGTTTTCCTTTGTGTAACTGAGCTTTTTACCCGTTCTGCATATTTCATACATACATTTTGGTTGCTGGAGTCATACAACCGTGATGCAATAATTATAGTTTGTCCCGGAGACGTTTATCCCACAAATCATCCACTCTGCCTGGTGTTCTGATATCTGTGGCATTTTGCCCCGCGTTTGGCAGGACGGCATGCAGCCCTCTGACCTGGACAGCGGCGTGTCGAACCCTCTCAGTCAGCCCCCAGCGGAGTCTGGTGTCCCCCTACCCGCCCTCAACCTCTTCTTCAAGGACGGGCAGCTGAAGGAGTGGAGCGGACGGGCCCCTCCTCCTCTGGATATCACAGCTCTGCAGAAGGACCAACCCACATAAGCCACCCCCCCCTCAAAACTTCCAGTCTTGGTCACAAGTCAAAAAAAACGTCACCTCATCGAAAAGGACCACCCTCTCACTGAGGAAATTGTTATTCGAGGTCCAACCCTGCATCTTGTCTATCAGTATCCAGTCATGGGAACATGAGCCGCAGCACTTCATTCACCTACTGTATGAGGAATCATCCTTCTGACTGTGTCGCCAACACTAGTTCAAACCCCCGTCGCTGTTCCCCTCCGTGATTCCTCATATTCGTAGCAAGGCAGTGTTATCTGTTGGGAGTGGTGCTATTATCACAGTATACAACAGTGATGCCGGTAAACAGCATATAACCTGGAAGATCCCCCCCCCCCCCCCCCCCCCCCGCCCTACCCTTCAATCAATGGATGTTCTGTGAGAGCGGAGTGTGAAGTGGTTAATAGTTGTATAGATGTTCTCAAACCCATGACCCACAAAATAAACAATGGAGTGTTGAACAGACACTTTCAGGAATCATTCGACAATATGCATATTTCAGGACCAAGTTTTTGGACTTATCCGACGGAGTCCAGACACAGACCCCGCTGCCTCCCTGTGTTGTCTCACGTTAAGTGATCTCATGCATGATACTGTTGCACTACTCCCTGCCATAAAATAATACTTTCCTCTTTACTTGTAATTAATATTGGGGGGCATTTATTATTTGCACTGTGCAGGATTTGTCTAAACCTGTGGATGAAGTAATGTCATGTAGTTTTCTTCTTTTTAAACCTTGGATCTCTTGCAGTGTGCACCTGGTTTTAGAGTTTACCACAAGAAAGTGTTTCCTCTTGGAAATTGACTGGGCATCAGAGAAACGGCAGTTTTTTTTTATTCTTTGTTATCATTTCTCAGTACAACAAAACACCAAAGACCATTTTCTTTTCCTATAAAATCATTTTTTTATCTTCTGTTTTTTTGAATTTATTATTCTGCTGCCTTATCACTGTCAGCCAATCAAAAACAACCATGTTTTGATTATGTTTAGGTTTTTTTCCTCTTTTTTTTTTTTTTAGATTTACAAATGATTTATTTGCATTTGAATGATTGCCTATAAATGATAAAATCAACCACATTGGGCCAACCATCGGCACTCTGAAGTATTTCGACAAGATTAACCAAGTGTACGTAATTGCGTAGAATGGGAACAGTCAGGTCTGTGTGTTTGACCCAGGCCTGGTGACATTGTTTCCTGCCAGTATTTCTCCCTGGATCAACTCCAGGTTTGTGTGCAGGGCGCTCTTGGCCAGCCCACAACATTCTCCAAGGGATTCTGTTTACACCATGTTTAGAAAAATAGGGTTTGTAGTCTAGAGGGAAGAAGGCAGTCATAGACTCCTGGGATGCAAATGCAAATGCTTTGCCCAGCATATCAGAGATGTGATGGCCCAAAAATTGTCTGAAGTCTGTCATGAATTTTTAGTGTGGCTCCGATAATCTAGAGTACTTTTTATTGCATTTACAATGTCAACCTTTTTTTTTTTTTTTTTTTTTGAAGGAATCCGTCTCCTGCAGTTTTTGACCCATTTGTGGTTGTTGTTTCTAATATCGTGATGCTGACATAGAAAAGAAGACACAAGGTCCCGTTGAAGCATGATGACTGTGTAGAAACCGTTGTGTGTATGTTGTGTATGCGCGTGTATTGTACACCTCACTCTTGGTGTGTTTTCACACAATCTTACCTTTCACAATAACAGCCCCCGTCTACCTGCCTGTCCGTTATCTAGTTGCAGTTGCTCGGCCATCTCACTTATGCCCCGTCCTCCCCCAGGTATACATCTACTACGGTGTTTAAAATTAAAAAAAATGCTAGTTTTATATGTTGGCCTATATTTTAGGAAATCTTTGTTGTAGCTTGTTTAATGGGACTGTGAATACCAATGACTGAGTTAATGATGATGCTCTTGTAATTAAATGGATAAAAAAAAAAAAGAATGACATTCCTTCAACATGCCCTTCCTCCATCCCTGCTCCATCTCCCCTCTGCTCCAGATACATGTTATTATTACAAATAAATATGTAAAAAGTATATGAACATATAAATAAATATGTAAGAAGAATGAACTCTCTTTTTCCTCCCTGAAAATGTCTTGGTGTCGTTTTTCCTGATGTATACTTTGAATTTTTTTCCCACTGATTTCAACCCCTACTGGCTCCCAAATGTAGCCAGTCACATTACACGACGTTAAGTCGAACTCGGTAAATGTTTTCCTAGCCAGGTGGAACAGATGGCGTGCAAGATGCAGCGGCCCGGATGCTCTGTCCATCTGCCTCAAGTACACACTTGTTCACCCATCCTTGTAGATTTAAATGAACACTTAGCTGAAAAACAATGTCTCTTACATGGATGGGGAACCTTTTGAAAAGCTATGAACCCCCCCCCCCATTTTTGGGAGGAAGATTAAGGTGTCAGTCTGTGGCTGGCTGTACCCTCACCAGACAGGTGGAGCTCCACATCTCCCAGGCCTCCCTGCTCCAGTAATTTCCCAGCACCACAAATTACACTGTGTCACCAGGGGCGCAAACTGGGTCATGCCACCTGAGGATAAGACGCTCCAAGAAACGGTCAAATGGGCTGCGTGTCACCACTCTAACAGTTATTTTTCTTTCCTAACACCCTCAGTTCTGCACTGATGCTCGGGAAAAGTGCAATAAATCTGCTGAATTCATTCTGCAGGTTTGTTATTTTTGATCATATGCATCGTCAAACTGGGACTGCTGCAAGGCTTCAGGCTGAAATGGGAGCAAAGCTGTGAATATATCGGCCTCTCCAACAATGAATACTTGTCCTGTGTCGTCATTTCAAGTAAAAGTGCAAGTACAACATCGTCGCATGTTTCTTTGAATTGTGTTGCATCATTATGATGTCATTACAAAGTATTCAGCTGAGGGGAATGTGATTCATTTTGCAGACATTGAGTTGAAAAGTGTTAAAGTTTTGACCAGATGCTGGTGCTAGTTAAACAGTCAGGTCATTATAAGTTAAAATGGTGTGTGCTGGTGGTCCTACAGGAAACGTTGGGAATAAACAAAGTCAGAAGGAGTCCTTCCTCTGACGGTCATCGATGCAAACAATCCATCCAAAGGTTGTGGACCAACAGACGGACCTTGACACAGTGCCACGCTGCTGTTGTGGCTAAAATCATCAAACGTTGGTTCGGTCTTGACCCCTAAACCTGCACGAAGATATTTGATTTGAACCCTGTGACCCAGGTTGAATTAGCAACCAGGGAAAACATTCAATCTGGATTAGTCAGAGTTGGAAAATCACACAGCGTGATCCTGTGCAGCTCTCAGAAAGCTCAGTCTCTTAATTAACATGATAGTCTTAAGGAGTGCTGCCCAAAGGCCTCCATGCTAATCTGCTGAGTCCATTGTGGCCAATGAGGCCATTCTGCCTGTTTAAACTAGATGAATGGATCACAAGGAGAGTTTTTTTCTGTTGAGACACGTGCCCTCATATCTACTGTACTGGATGACTTTGCAGTCAGTTTGTAAATGTTCCCTCCAGTGGGTACTCAGCTCAATGTTGGGGGTCAAACTCAGGTTCATCTGCTCTCTTAAATTGATTGTCTTTCTTCTTCACAGAGTTGAACACTTTCTATTTACAGCCTGCCAAACATGCTCACACCCCTCTGCATCTCTCCCATGTCTCTCACTCACAGCCATACTATTTCCAAGACAGGTGTTTTCACAAGGAGGCTGCTGCAGCATGTGCCATTTGTGGGGCATATTGAGCCCATTCTCCTTGCCTGTGGGATACAGTGAAAATAGCCCATAACTGAGAGCGCGTCTAGGCAGGCCACGACAACCATAATGACGACATTATGGTCCCACCGGGAGATGGAGATGGAGAAGGAGCAAATGACTGTGCAGCTTCAGTTCATTCAAGAACAGACAGGTGGTCAAAACAGTAAATATCGGCGATGTTGGACCCCTCAACGTGCTCCTCGCTGTGTAAAGTTGTAATTTGTAATATGTAACAGAGTGAGTCCTATGATACTGAAATCAAGAACATTGAGAAAATAAGTTTTGTCTTTGAAGCCCAATCGTCATACAGAGTGCAATGCAGTCTGAGGGAGGATGAACCCAGAGTGCTGGTTGTGTACAACTTATAAAAGGACTTGAGCAGAGGGTGGGGTAGGAGGAGTCATCACTACAACATCTGGACAACAGTGACCATTCTGTGGTTAACTATTGAATGGTCCACTGTCTGCACCCCCATTCAGCCCCTTATCTAAGCTGACAATACCATGTCCTTAATTAAGACACACACACACACAGTATTACTCTACTTGAGAGGACCCTCACTGACCATGTCTGACATTCATTAATTAACCTTGTCTATAAGTGGGAGTCCTAAAACCTTGAAGTTGTATCTCACAAGACAAAAAAGGCCAAAACACTGAATGGTCTGATGAAAAAAATATATATAATCAAATAAAAACAACAAAATGACTACATAAATAAATCAATGAATAAAAAAAATAAAGGAATAATAAAATAAAATATTCAATAAAATAAAATGAATATTATCAATAAAAATTGACGGATAAATAAAATAAAAATAACCAACAAATTAAAATAAGCAAAGTAAAAAAATAACTCACTAAGAAATTAAACAATATAAAAAATGAATAAAATAACAACTAAACACAGATAATTAACTAGATCAATTACAATGCATTAAAAGGTTAAGTAACTAAAATGGAGAAACATTTTTTTTAGACCACTAAGATATATTTTTTTTACCCTAGACATCAAGTTTGTCTTTCATTTGAATGAAAGCACAATATAAAAATGTCTACGCTTAAAACTGTTCTGACAAAGGCGCAACATTCATACCAGCATTAAAGTATTTTGGAGATGAGGAGCAGGATATTAAAAGGTGCGGTGAAGAAAATTACGCGCACTTCCGCTTTAAAAGCGGAGCAGTGTAGCTGAAGACAGTCGCTGTGGCGATGCCGAGCCCCAGATCCGCTTTCAGTTCCGCGCCGGCCGGATCTCTGCTGCACAGTGCGCAATGTATACACCGTCATCACAGTGGACTATTTGAACGGCGGTGTAGACAAACATACGAGCATCTGGGTTTTAACTCTCATTGTTTCCTATGTGACAGCCGGCGGACAGAACTTTACGCAGGGAAACAGCAGTTGAGTCTACGAGGCTACACCTGACGGATCATTATCCTCGCTGAATTTGAAACCAGTTTGTGTTCTCCTCTCAACTCCACTTGTTGATGTGGTACTAACAGGCTATCCCGGTAGCCACACCACGGAGACATACTTATGCGTAATTTGGATTCAAACCTGTCCGACGGCAATGACGTTTCAACCTTTCAGGGTTTGTGGCAGATGGAGGTGATGTTGGGCGACCGGTAACATCTTACGGTATCAGAGCGTATTACACAAGCTGCTGCCAGGTGAGGAGCGGCATGGGGAACCAGATGGACAAGCTATCACATTTAAGTTACGCAGAAGTTCCCACAGTGGACCCGAACGGCGTGGACACGGAGGACGGTCCACGGATCGGCGTCTCCTATATATTTTCGAACGACGACGACGAGCTGGAGGATGGCTGCGCGGTCGATGGCAAAGAGAAGGACCCGAATCAGGAAGAGAAACAATACGACCAGCGCGATGAGGTGGAGTGCGCCGTCTACAACAGAGATGAGTGCATTTACGAGAAGAGCGTCAAGTCTGCCCACCTGGAGGTTTACTCCCCTGAGAATCTACTAAACAAATGTAAAGCAGGTGACCTGGTGGAGTTTGTGGCCACCGGTCAGTTCCCGCACTGGGCTGTGTACGTGGGGGACTTCCAGGTGGTGCACCTGCACAGAGCAGAGGTGAAAAACAGCTTTTTGACAGATGCAAGTCAAGGGAGGAGGTGTAGGATTGTGAATGACCTGTACAAATTCAAAGCTCTCGGCCCGGACATGGTGGTGCAGAACGCGATGGAGCAAGTGGGCTTAAAGGACCGAGAGCTGAGCTGGAGGAACTCCGAGTGCTTTGCCGCCTGGTGCAGATTCGGCAAGAGGGAGTTCAAAATGGGCGGGGAGATACGGATAGGCAAACAGCCCTACAGGTTGAAAGTAGTCAAGTCCGACAAACATTCGCACATGTTGGAGTTTCAGAGTTTGGAGGACATGATCATGGAGAAGAGGAGGAACGATCATCTGGGCAGGTCGGCCGTGCTGCGGGAGCTGGCCGCTCACTTCAGCAGCGTGGAGGAGATAAAAAGTGAGCCAGGCGCTGACTGATGGTGGCTTCTTCCCCCTTTTTGATGCTTTTCACAATAACTGCTTTGCCAGTAGAGTAGCCTTTACCAAACATGAACTGTTACACCCTGCTTTAATCTATAGCGAGCCTTCACTCCTTCATTTTATTTTTGAATTGGAGCACACGTGTCATAATTTCTACTGGGACATAGTCATTTTAATTATGTTTTTCACATAAGTGTGAAACAATGTTAATGCCTTAAAGCCACAATCAATATCCCTCAGATGCTTAATGGCCTTAGCAGTTTTGAACTCAATTATCTGGGAAAAAATTCAACTAATTGAATTAGTTGATATGCTTGTTTGTAGCTCGGACAGCTTCTCCACACAGAATGTATAGTTTTATAAAAGCTTTACACATCAGACTGTCACAATCCAGTAAGTAGAGTGAATGTTTCTCTATTCATAGTGCGTCCTGTTACTTGATCCTTGTGTGGTTTAGCTTCCTCCCTCAGCTCACTGCTCGCTGAATACAAGGAGGATTTTTTTCTGCCTTTTTTTAATTTTTTTTATGGGTAATTCTCACACCAGCACATGTTGGAATGAACGTTGTGGAGCTGGTTTTGTGTTACACTCATCAAAGTCTGTCCTAACTGTACCCAAAGTTCAAGTAAACCATGACCCCTTGTCTCTTTTTGAAAGGACTCCTCTGTCATGCTGTTTTTCTTACACATGTTAGCTGTGTGTTTAAAATGCTCATTCTGTCACCCTCCTGTGATCTGTGTTTCTTAGAAAAAAGTCAAATGGGTTTAAAAAGCAAATAGTCTTAGCTTTAACGATATTAAGACAAATCAGATTCACCAGCGTAGTGTTTCGACCAGGTTCATGGGTTATAGCGAGCTAATTGGGGTTAAATCCTGGTGTTTAGGTCTCGCAAGATTAGCTCGCTTTTACCTGAGGAATCACCACTGTAACCTACTGTATGCTGCAGGCCGAGTCTGTTTAAAACCAGACTATCAAGAACACCTGCCTATCCGCCTATAGGCAGGTGATTATGTTCAGATGATGTTTTCATAATCAACAACTGTTTTGGTTCTCCCCGATTGTTTTCATCATTTCCCTGGCAACGTTGGTGAAAGACATTAACGGATCCCAGCTCATCCCATGTGAGGATTTGCTGCTCTTTGTCTGTTTATATATAATTTGTTAAATGGATGTCTTTGTAATTTGTCATGTTGTCCAGGCAAAACAAGGTATTCAAAGACGTCACCTTGGATTCTGGGAAACTTTTATTTTATGACATTTGATAGACTAAACCATCAACAAAAAGCTATCGTCAGATTAATTGATGATGAAAACAAATTGATAGTTTAGCAGCACTGTCACTATGTTAGGGTGAATGATTGCGATGATTCCTGGGGCTGACAGCTGACAAACTTTTAGTAAATTCATAAAGGGGGGCCTAAAGCAATAATCCTCAAGGGACCCAGAATTTCTATTTGCGGCCCTGCCCACAGTATCCAGGTATGGACAAAATGATTGCATTCAGGGTACAAAGTGACGAGCAATAACGGGAATAATACGCCGCTTATATGATGTTTGGATGAAACACTTTTTACAGAATGCTCCTCCTAGATTATTTTCATCAGAACTACAATGGATGTTTGCAGCTTTAGTATTAAACTAGAACCGACCAAAATATCAATAAACTAAATTTGTTGTTTCATATAATTTTTTTTTTTAGGATTCCAGACAGTATTTTGTTTTCAGCCCTGAATAGCACAAGATAACGTTGTGCGTGTTTTTATAGCCTCAGTGTGATGAGACAACATTGCATCAATGGAAAGAGTGCTCACTGTGCCCTGATGATGGCAGTGATAAGCTTTAGTTATCGATGTAGAAGCCGTTGCTATCTGCAGCCTTCCATCAGTGATTCTCTCGCATCAGAAACTGTTACAATTCTTATCTTTAGTTTTTCCTCATATTCATTTATTCTAATAGTTTATTCCCTTTAAGAGAACTGAAATGTTACTGTCAAGGCTAACATCCATTTCCAACTCAGAGCTTCTCATGTTTGTTCAGGTGAAATGCTTGAAAAGAAATCATACTAATATTTTTAGCAATTTTTCAAATGACTACAGTTTTTAATGCAGAAACTACTGCATTGTTGCACTAAATTGCTCCATGCAGCAACCATAAACCCACAGCTTAAAACCTGCAGCAGTCTGACCTCCAGTTTCAAATAAATCAGACTATTGAACTTTTGGAACTATTGGCATCATCTATGATGGTCTGTCAAATCTCTAAATAGACTTCCATAATGACCACAGGGAACAACCAGGCTTAAATGCTGCATATGATACATGCAGTATGGTACGCTGGTAGCTATCTGTCTGCTTTAGCCCCCATGTGCTGCATTTTCCCAGCAGTTGTTCCGATGTTCCTGGCAGTGCTCGAATCAAATTAGGACATGTTAAACCCTCCTCAGAGTCTCATGAAGTTAAGCGTTTCCCAAGTAAATTAGACCATTTTATATTGAACTAAAAGCCATTTAACAAGACAGGAGTGCAGATGTTGCTGCTTTAGCTGCAAAGAGGTTTTTATCATCTTGTGTGTCGAGAGGCATCCTGTATTTGAGGTGAAAACTCCGATAGTTGAGCTGTGCGTTGCAGGACCTGGTTCTTGAGATGTTTGGCTGAATTTGAACTTCATGTCAGATGAACTTGAGTGTGAAGAGGCGAGGTTGGTGTCTGCTGTTTGTGTGTTGTTTGTAGTTTCCAGGTACATCAGTGCAGTTTTGCCCAACCCTTTTTGTTTTTTTGCGACCCCTTAAAGTGCAGCGATGTCGACTCGTGACCCCTCGTCACAGCTTCTGTCCTCAGTGTGAACATGAGATGTGACCTGTTTTCTTTCTCAAGCTGTTCCACTCAAAGGTCTGGAGAGGTGAAAGTATTCAGTATTTGACAAGAGGGGGGAAAAAAAGTAATTAGAGAAACAGATGAAAATTACCTTTATTTGGTTCTTTGCTTTCATACCAACACTGTCAAAAATGTTACTGAGGCATTTCTGTCTATAGTGACATCCTAAAAACCTCATTGTCTTAAAAGCAAGTGAAACACATCTTCAGCTACCATGAGAGCTTCCATCTGTTTCCAACTGAAAGCAGAATGAATTGTCTCGTGTTTTTGTCTTGAAACAACAAATATAAATGTCTGTCGCTGCACTAGAATAAAGACAAATTGAACTTGATTTTTAACAAATTTATAGAACAAGTAGAACTATTTTCATTGCATCGGTAGATGTTTTTCTCTTGGTTATAATAAATATTCATAATATGACAACTTACAACCCCCAAATTAATATCACAAGGTGTATTTCGTTTTTATACAGAGCATTCCTCCTGTAGTATACTTGGAGGGTGCACTATGCTCTTACAGTGAAGCAGCATCAACTCTCTCCCAGTCCATTCCTCTTGATGGGATGTGAAAGCTTGGACATGGTGGAGGCAACCCAATTATAATCAACTGTCAGCGCTCGCCTACAGGTACCTCAGCCGTCTGCTGCTATACTGTGTTTGGTTTATTTCCATAGGATGCTGATGAGATTAGTTGCATTATCAGAGAGCGAGAAACCAGCATTCATGTCCCACTGTGGCAGACATACTAAAGATAATTAGCTGTATGTATGTGAGCGGTATTCAGTGGATGAGGAATGGAAAGAAGCATTTCAACAAGCTCTCTGTCAGAAAATGCTTGCTTCCTATCTGTTCATTCCTCCAAACATACTATTGTTCATAAGTGGATGCACATTAGCAGCCAAGATGCTCAAACCTTAATAACCTGTTGGAGAGGCTCATCTTGAGGTGGTCCATTTCTCATTTTCACCACATGGGTAATTTAGCTTTGGGAAAAAAAGAAAATACTCTGATTTTTTCCTGTTCTGTAAACACAAACAAAAGACTTGGCAGACCATTAGAGACCAACACATAAAACTGAGTTTTTTACTCTTCAGAAAAAGGTTTTCGATACAAGAGCCGAGAGACAAGTATTGTCAGTTTTTCAGCTCAGTGTTTTCTATGTTCAATTAATGCGAATTATGACGATGAAGGCAATGATGCTCCTTTTCCATCAGTAAGACAAAAATAAATGGCTCGACTTTATATGTATACTTTTAGTACCGACTTAAACAAACAAGATAAATAAAAGATTGATGAGCTTCAATGGTGCCGGTAAGTTGATTATATTCCCGTTAGACAGAGCCAGGCTAGCTCTTTTCTCCTGTTCTCACTATTTATGATGAGCTAAGCTAACCATATGCTGCTGTAGCTTCATATTTACTGTACAGGTATGAGGGGTATTGATCTTCTTATCTAATTCTTGGCAAGAAAGTGACTTTCTCAAAATGCTTAACTACTCCTCTAATGATCAAAATAAAATGTCAATAGTGCTGGAACATTGTAAATGACTATTGTTGTTTCTCACTATAAAATGGAAGACGTGACACGACCCAATAACTACATCGCAATGCATTTGAAAATGCAGCTGTGAAAAAGTAGAAAAGTGAGTGTGTTGAGTAAGTGCAGCATCTAAAAAGTACACCCACCTACACAAACTCATACTTCTATGACAAAATAAACAAAGGACCCAATTCAGGGCTCAACGTGGAGGCCCACCCGGGGTTTCTTTTTTTCTAGTAATCAAGTGTTAATAAGATCATTAGAAAGTCTGAACTGCATGAAGACATTCAAAGGCTTGTAAATGTTTTAGGGTTCAAGTCCCACTCCTTTTGTGGCCTGACCTGTGTGGACTAACAGAGAAGAGGTTGGGAAACGTTATGTGATTACACCTGCCATGCTGGGAGTGAGTAACAGCCACCCGCAATAGCAACACAGCCTCTCATTGTGTGTTTGAGTTATGCCAGAACACCCCCCCAATGCCTCGAGGACAACTATAACACTGAGATGTCATACTTGTCCTGGTAGGTTGATGAAAAACACTTTGAAAGGAGGAATGATTAAACTGTTTTATTTGTATTAGCATGAAAAAAACAACAAAAAATGCATTGCAGCAAACAAAAGAATGAATCACTGGCATGGTGAATGATGAGATATTTGGTAGGCGGCCATCCGGAGATGACATGTTAGAGCATGATTAGGTTCTTCGCTGAAGAGCAGCCGCTGTGGCCACGAGCAGCAGTTACAGGATACAAGTTAAATATGTGTAACAGTAGCACAAACACAAAGTTCTAAAAAGTCAACGATCTGACTCTGAATGTTTATATATATATAAAGTGTAAAGTTTGGCAACATTAGCTGATGCAAGCTATCATAAGCTAAGCTAGTGGTCATAGCAGAACAGTTTTATTGCTTATGAATTCAACTTTTCATTGTAAGAGGAAGATCGTGTTGATTCTTCTTTCATTTGTTACATAGTCTTCCTTTAAAAGCGGAATTTAAAGATTCTATCAAAGTATGAGAAAAAAATGTTTGTACAATTTATACATTTTTTTTTCAGGCATTGTTGTTGAGTCATGGTTTCTTTAGCCTTCAAGTTTAGGAATTGCTTTTCAGCAATGTGCTGGCTTTAGCCTCTGATAGATTTGCAACACTTTCCTGGATTCAATTTGTCAAAACTTTTCCATTTCCAATTACTGTGGTCGCTGCCAGAGTATTTCACCCGAAATGCCGCCTGAAGCTGTGCTCTTTCATTTGAGGTCCACAGCGGAGTGGCACAGCTGTGTGGTTTTAGATGCCGAAGAGGCAGGTGGCTTCATTGTGTGCCGCGGCTTTGTTTATCCCCCCCGGTTTTTTCCCATGGCACCACTCGCTGGTGGTTCTTTGAACTGATCATTTTCAGATGATAGGGCTCAGTGTTTGCCGGGGGGGCACCCAAGTCACATTAATTGAGTTGTTTGAAATGATCTCAGTTGGCTTCCAGGTAATTAGCATCAGCTACGTAAACGCAAGCAAATCAAGTCCTGTTTATGTAAAGCTTTGGCAACATGTTTGTTAGAGCTGTAAAGTCTTTGACTAACAGGATGCGTTGGATGCATCCGTATAGCAACAGCTTTATTCATTCATGTTATGGAACACTTGAAGGTCACTTTGCTGCATTACAGGAGGAAATCAAGACCATGTTTACATACTGTAACCCAACAATACAGGCTTTTCTATTCAGGGTTAATGCACCATTAAGCTGCTAAATTAGTGCACACAAGAGCAGAGTGTGTGAGTCAAAGGACGCGGTTGTCCAATAATTCCTTTTTATCCCTCGCTTATCTGTTGACACAGCTGTACATGCAGACAGAGATCACCTTTGAAAGGGCACAACGCCACAACAAGTAAGTCTTTAGTGTGATTGAATTCCATTCTTTCTTGTGTATTTTACAAGGACACCAGAGTTTTCCCTTCATCAATTAGCTGCTCCTATCTGAACATCTGGATAGTTACATCATTTCATTTGGCAATCATTTCCTTTTTATGGTTTAAAGACTGTGCAGTTGTTTCAAGTTATTGAGTTCTGATGTCTTCAATTCACCCTAATTCTAACGATCCTCATTTGCAGAGTCTCTAAAGTGTTTCTTCAGTTCTATCAAGATGTTGTAAAATCAAGATAATCGAGATAATGTGCCGCTGGAAGAAGCCGTTCAGTTTGTGAGAAGCTAAAATCTTGACTCATTGTTAGACCTCCGAACCATCCGTGGGGAAAGAGCTCTGATCATTCAGCTGAATTATTCTGTGTCTGTTCAATAAAAGACATTTGGAAGTTTCTCATCATGTTTATTTATCACAGGGACATTAATCTTCCACCACAGTAAGTATGAGTTCATCCAGTAAAAGCTTGAAATCTAAACTGAAACATTTACATGCTGCTGATGTTGAATAACACCTAAAATGAATCAAAGGTCTGAATCATCAACTCATATTTTGCATAAATCCCAGACTGTGTGAAGTGACGGTGTATTGAGTGTGCTGTCTCAGGCCTGCTTACACATAAAAAATATCTGAGAGCAGAACAGAGTGATCTAAATGTATTTGTCTGTGTGTGAATATAAAGTATAAATATGCAATATGTTAGTGTGTCTGCCAGATCTTGGGTACATAATACAGCTGGGCATCAATTTACATCTTCATTATGTGGCCGCCTCTGCACAGACTGTGCTGGTATCAATCCCTGTTGGCCACAGTTGTTGCACTGTCTAAACTAATCAGCCTTCATTTGTTTTAAAGTAGAGAATAAAAGGTTGCAAGATAAGGAAAACAGCGGGAAGGAGCAACTCCACAATCGATTAGCATTCTGCCTCTCCTCCTCATGCAGCTTTCCCCCTTGACAAACAAATTAAGCTAACTTTCAAGAGGCTGGCTCAGTAATTACCTGTTCAAAGTGCAATGCTCTTGAAAGCACAGAAAAATGTACTGCACCCTATTTGCCAATTTTCATATTAGTTATGAATGCATGTGAGACTTTTCAGTTATCCTCAAACAAAAGGTAATTTTCTTCAGTTCATGTGATTGTATCCCATCTTTCTAATTAAATCCACTGACTTGTGGCCATTTGAGAAAGTATGGTGGACATGTGTCTTTTCTAATTTAATTATTGATTAAAGGCACTCTCATAGTAGCATAAGTAAAAATAAATTGTAGAGGGGGTTTTCAAGGTTATTACCCAAATATTAGTCTTCTCTTTTGTTGGACTGGAAGAGCACATGATGCAAATAGACCATAATGGCAGAGGAGCATATTGGTCATATAATTCTGATGAGATGGAGTGTATAGACGAGCTGATTGTGGAGCCACAGCCCCTCTCTGCCGACAGCTGAGGGCACGCTCTAACTGGCACATGCCATCTGTCTGGAGATCTGGGGACCAAGGTGTTGCTCCAAAATGCGAGTCACTGTTGCCTTCATTGTGCGATTGAAGTGGGACGCCGAGCGATCACTCTTGGAAGCTGATCTTGGGTTGTTTTTCGTCTCTATGAGATGATCCAAGACCAAAGACTGACGGTGTGTATGGAAAGAGGACTTTTATGCTTAATAATCAGCCGGGACTTGGGTGTCCCCAGTGACTTAATCAGCTGCAGGAGCTGGCAGCTGGGTCTCTCTCCACAGAGTTAAGGGCTTTGCCATACCTGTCTCTTCAGAGAGGCCATTTGCTCAGATAGAGTCAGTATATGCTGAGCTTTCTCTGCTAATGATTCCACAGGCGGTCGAGGTGCTGTCACTAACAGCTTTGCCAAAAGAGAGAATTGACTCCTCTGGTATTGTACATAATTCTGCAGAGTGTTGAATGCAGGGAGGTCAGCCAGCGTGTTACACGACACATCAGTATTCATGAAATTTTACCCTCAGGAGATAAACCCCCTGACTCTGTCCTCCTTGATCTGGTCACATCTGGGGAACGCATTAGGCCAAATGAGCTTCCAGGTACTAATTGCTGCTCATTTGCATAAATGTGTGGCTTCCAGATGCCAGGAGTGTGGCAAGTTAGGGTAACAGCTGGCTGGGTCACCCCTGTGGCATATGTGAGTAAACTCTGCCCTCTATTGTGGCTTTAATTCTGTCTCTGTGTATGAAAATGTATCTATTCAAAAAACCCTTGCCTAAAAGCAGCTATAATCAATATATGTATAATAACAAATATTTCATAAAAATTCAAATTACCATTCGACTGTGCAGTTTCCCTCAGCTCGAAAGGAGCGTTTCAGCATCTTCAGCTGCTTGTTTATTTATTTATTTACCAAAAAATGAGTTGTGGCCGCTTTAGATTTCTTTCAAAGATCACTGGATGACATGAGAGGGGTGAACCTCATTATTTCCTACACCAAACTGTGTAAAGAGAGAGAGAGTAGAGGATAAACTGACAAAGACAGTGCCTCTGGTGCTCACCATGCGGCCCAGCTCCTGCACTGCTGTTGCTGCCAGGCCCTGTTGGAAAATGGAGCCTTGAAACATAATAATCACCCAGGAAATACTAGTAAGGCATTGTGCGAAAACACTATGTTTCATATTGTGGTATGTATTTTTGAATTGATCATTTCTAAGCATCTTAACTAGACAATCAGATGATTTGAATGGACACCGATTTTTTTCTTTCTTAGCTTAGCTTTGTGTTCCTGTGAACAATCTGAAAAGGAAAAGACAGTAAGATCACAGTAATGTGGTAACCCAGTAACTCAGCAAATGAATTATTATTTACTTTTCTATTTACCAGAGGCGAGGTATGCTATACTACCCAGGTACGTTCACCCTGTATTTATATTCACAGTGTGTGTAAAGCCAAGAATAATGAGCTCACACTCACGAGGTGCATTTTCATCACTCTGCCTGGTGTGTCAGCCAAAGCAGAGGAAATTCCAGTGCCTTCGAGAGGCTTGATTACGATAATAACAGCGGCACAGAAAACAAAGGATCAAGTCAGTTGCGTGGGGAGCGTAAAGCTCAAGAGCCTTATTCTGATTAAGGGTGTTTTAGCAGCATGTTTTGAGATGGCATGTTAATAACAGCGTAAAGAGTTACGCAGTGCCACAATTTGAAAAACACCAAGTGTGCTTTAATTGCACTGCCAAGTGCATGTAGGTCATAGTAGTTTATTTAGATGTTA